TACACAGAACATGATTAGATAAAAATCGAGCAAGTACAAGTACACTAACGTGAACTATAGATTTATAATACTTGGGTGTATGTTGATACGTAATCATTATTATTTATTTCGTAAACAATAATGAAATTCGATTACATTAGTTAATTATTGCGTAGATGTATCTGTTTTTATTTCTGCACCGCATGGATTATACGGCCTACAATGCTGAGGCTGTATTTTGTACACGCTACTGATGATTATCGATGTCGTGCGCAGCTTTTTTTATTGTGACAAAAGCTGTGTGAAGCTGCGCAACGATACCGACAATCATTCGGGCTGCGTTCTGTTTCACGCATGACACGCATGATTTATACTTTTATCCTTGTTTAACATTTGGTGAACAAGGATAAATAATATGATACATTATGCGCATCATGGGTGAAACGAAATACAGCCCCGGTAGCGTATACAGAATATTGTCTCTGGATTTTCTGTCTAGGTCATTTAGTTATAATTTTCACTACGTACAACACAATATTTGCAATCGTATAATCAGAAAGATTAAAAGATACTTACGTACTGTACGGAGAAAACTCACAAGTAGCAACAGAATTACAGGCACAAACAAGCACTGGAGACTGAGTGGCACTAACACTATATCTGACTAATGTCTGACACGTACTGACAAGCATTGGCAAGCACAACGAATCGAACCCGTTGAACAAATAATGATATAATGGCGAGCAGACTATTGAAGATGAACCAAGAATGATGAAGACACCATTGCATGATGGGATGGATTGCAGCGCCATGGTGAATACAGTCGAATCGATAACATGATCGATAATTAACTAGGCGACGACCCGCCAAAATACAAATATAGGTGAAACACAATGCAAAATACTAGATATCAATATATAGAAGCGATCGATAGTTTTGTACTAAATGTATACCTAGAAATTTCTTACAATATTTTTAGAAAATCCAAACAATAATTTATATTTTTTAATTATAAAAACATTTAATAAGATTTCATCATAAAATAATTATTAACATGAATTTTATATAAACAATTAATTGATTTAAATTACTATTCAGTGAATGTGCATTTTTAATTAATTAATACATATATATATATATATATATATGTTTAAGTATTTCTAGTAAATATTTAGTTGACACGGATATGTAGATAACATATAACATAATAATATCTAATAGATATTTTCGGTAGCTACTTGGTAAACATAGATATAAGGATAATTATTAGATATCTATTAGTTATCTATAGTAGATATGGATATCGTACAGATATGTGGATATCTAGTAGATATCTATTATATATTTTGTTCCGTGTGGGCGACCATATTTGTACGGGGCGAGATGCAGTCACCGTCCGTGTCTGTACGGAGCAAGGTGCAGCCCCCGTCCTTCCATCGCGCGATTGTGACGTTATAGCTCCTCGAGCTGACGTCGCGCGGCTATGCTGACGTTTACCGTTTTCGCCATGCTGGCCGCTCTGCCGATCAGGGAGTCGATCGCGCCCAGCGCGCCTAGGATCGGTCGCACACCGCCTCGTTTCGCCGATGGAAGTACTCGTTTCTTCACCGTTTTCCTCTTGCGCGTTTTCGCTTTCATACCCATGCCGATTTTGATCTTGGCTTTCATCGCAGCCCAGACTGCAGCAGCTGCGGCTGTCTCACCCAGAGCCGAATCTCTCGCGACAACGCGTCCCAGGGCTCTTCTGGCGAGTATCTCGTCCGCCGCGTGTCTATCGGTGAGATCGCTGCTACGAGAATACGCGATATCGTGTTCGCGGCACGCCGCGTCCAATGGATTTACACCCGTGTCACCTCTGGCCAATCGTT